AGAAATATTAAAATTCTCATAGAGTAAATTTTATTAAAAGAAATGCTATTGAAGTTCTATCTTGTTAGCCAAATAAATTCAAGGAAGCTTAGCTGAAAGTGCTGCTTTGATTTCAGCTATTGGAAGGGGGGAAAGGTGTAATTATGTTTAGGAAGTGATAAGAAGTCACAGGTATTACAGGAGGAAAACTCATGTTTCTTTTTCCTCCAGGACTAGTACTATATAAACCATCAGATAATTGAAAATATAGGAAATTTATGGAATGCTTATTATTTTTACTCTGTGTATTTATACTGTTTTACACTACTTTACACAGTGATGACTAAGTCACTGTGACATATGTAAATTTAACTTCATATAAGGAAACCCTTAGGTTGCTGAATAAGTAGAAATCCTTTGATACATAATAAAACAACAACAAAAACAGGAGCAAGAAGTAATGAGGTGCCCATTCAAATGTTGTTGTTATAAAAATACTGTGGAAAGATGGATACATTTTTTAGAAGCTATGAAGTCAAAATTTCAACTGACCATAAATTTCTATGTCTTTCATTGTGACCTATTCTTCCTAAGTAGTTTAATATCATTCTTTCCATCTTTTGAAACAAGTGACTGCTATGTAGCTAGTTACAGTGTAAAACCAACTCTAACAAATTGAGAGTAAAATTAATTTATTTCACAAACAAATTAATCAATCTCAGAAAACAACAGACCTATCCAGGAAACACAGTTGGCTTTATTAGCAATCTTAGTTAATATTTAGTATTCTTATATTTTCTCATTTAGTCTTCTCTGAATTTTAACACAGAAAATATGGTTATCACTTTTGTTTTAATGTATAAAACATTGTTTTTAAATATTAATTTCAATAAAATTTAGGTACTGAATTGGGGTTTTCTTCAATTACAAAATAAATTAGTCAAAGTTTAATGAGGAAAAGAATTATCACTCTAACCTAGGCTCCATTTGGTTAAATTGGAAAGTTTTCCAAACACTTGTCAGATTTCAGGAAACACATTTTTTGTGTTTCTCAAACACAGACAGATAATCTGTCTACCAGAGTCAACATGGAAAATGAATAAGCAGGAATAAAGGCATTAAAGCCATCTATTTAAAATAAGAGTAATATAAACCTTGCCTATAAGTAGTTTTGACTTATATTATAGCTTCTTATGTTACTGTGGAAGACAGAAACATTACACGCACATGCAGATGGTAAACAATAAGAAGCATTGTCATTTAAAGCAACAGATGGTTGGTCAAGAGCAGCTTCCATAATTGAGCTGCCTAAGAAAGACATCTAAACCCCCAAAGCCTCATGCTCCTGCAAAAATAAATAAGAAACTTAAAATGCATGAAAAGACAATGAAATAATAGAATTCTAAAATAGTAGTGAAATCTAAAATTGCAGGTATAAATTCAATGTTTTAAAGTACATCTGCTCCTAAAAATAAACAGCTTTAAAAAAACACTTAAGGAATATACACAAAAGAAAATGGGAGGGGATTCCAGATACTAGTATGTTTATAAATATGTCTGTAACAATAAATATCATAAATATTAAAACTACTTGAAGTTTGATACAGTAATAGAAACAAGTGAGGAGATTCTCAAGTATTCTACTTACGGTATTTTTTTCTGAAAATAGTGACAAAATTATTAGCAGAACAGTCTTGAAGCTTTTAAATCTATGAAGTAAAAGTAAATAAATACACATGAATTACACATATTACCTAAGTGTTAAAATAGTTTTCAGTTCAACATCATTTCATTACAATGTTAATGAACTGCCATAGAAACTTAACTCTTATTTATATCAATTAGCCTTTGGCAAAATTGGTTTCCTTATACCTCTTTTGCTTAAAGTTGCAGAACCTATCAATGTTAAATGAAGACTTACTGTATAAACACACATTTATTATTCAAAATAGTCACTGGAAGGGGTATACCTCTCTGTCTCATTGATGCTGAGTTTGGTTATATAATATTATATACTTAGACCTCACATTTATAGTTTAGTATATTTCCCTACTTTTTGACTTTGTGTTTGTCCAAATGAGTTACTTTGACCAATGGGACATTAGGAGAGAATATTGAATTGTGTCCTTTGAAATATATGAAGTCCTAATCTCTAAGTTTATAATGTATGTTATATAATATATTATGTAAAATATTTTAACATGTATATATGAAAAAGAAAGAGAGAGAGTACACAAATGTAGTAAAATTGGGGAATGTAGGTGAAGAGCATATGGTCATTTATTATTATTATTAAAAATATTTTTATTGATTTCAGAGAGGAAGGGAGAGGAGGAGAGCAAAAGGGAGAGGGAGAGAGAGGGGAGAGAGAGAGAGAGAAAGAAAGAGAGAGAGAGAGAGAGAGAGAGAGAGAGAGAGAGAGAGAGAGAAAGAGAGAGAGAGAGAGAGAGACCCATGATGAGAGAGAATCATTGATTGGCTGGCTCCTGCATGCCCTCTGCTGGAGATTGAGCCCGAAACCTGGGCATGTGCCTGATCAGGAATCAAACTGTGACCTCCTGGATCATAGGTTGATGCTCAACCACTGAGCCATGGGCTGATGGTAATTTATTATTACTTACTTTGTCAAATATAAGTAAATCAGGTCTTAGGTAAGGAGAAGCTCTCTTCAAAAAGACTACGGCAGAAGCAAAACACTCTGACCACAAAACCTGCAAATGTCTCAAAATCAAACAGAAAATAAAGTTGTTTTTTTTTTTTAAATAGGGAGGGGTAAACTTTGTATGGGAATAATGCAAGAGGAGTGAGCAGATGGCATAAGCAAGGTACTTTCACAAGAAATTTTTGTTCTGTAGTTGGCCAGTTCTTGGAATGAGCCATTTAGTGGGGCTGTTCTGCATTCTAAGGCTTATTTAATTCAGGGGCAAATTAAAATTCAGCGACCTATGCATAAAAGAGAAGCCTGACTAAAGTTTGGTCATACCAAACTAATGGGTAAGTAGTAGGCCATTGTAAGCACTCATGACTTTAAATTATTTCAAAACAATATTCTTAAAAGCTTAAAAATCAGTACTTACATATAGTTTTGGAATGGATCTTTTGTTCTAAAAACAAAACAAAACTCATTCTTCCCAATATTTAGATTTTGAATACAGACCTTGACATTACAACCTAAAAGGTTTTAGATTTATTCTGTGTGCCCATCATTCTACCTTCACTGGAAAGGATGAAGACTTCAAAAATAGCACCATGTTTAAAGTTCCCCAGGTTTTCAGAGAAAAAATAAAATATTTTGGAATTTAACCCCATCAAGAGGGTACTACTGCGTGTCCTAGGGAATAACCAAACAGATTGAGATTCAGAGGTATCTAACTGAAGAGCTAAATTAAACTGTATAAAGATGCACAGATGTTAAAATAGCTAGTGGAGACTGAAGGAACCGTTAACTACTTCATGTCAGGGTGTCATACACATTACATATACCATTTTTTTTCACTTTTTTTCTCATTTGGAAAATGTGGTTTAGACTTCTCTTGAGTGGAACTGACTATTACTATAGCACCTAGCATATGAAACACTGAGGAAAATGGGAAATCGCCCAGTGTTTGATAATGAGCATGAGACAGAGTGTTAGAAGACAGGTTCTAGTTCTGATACTGCCACTAACTGGGCAAGTGATTTCAGCATTTAGGCCTTAGTTTTTCATTTGTAAAAAAAAGGGGGGGGGGCGGAGGGAGAGATTGGACCTTATCTTCCTGAGATGCCTTATCATCTCAAATATTCTATGATTCTATGATTGTAAAGGAAACTTGCCACAAAAGTCTGCCAAATATCAAGTCATTCTCAATATACAGGATGTCCCCCAAAATGTGCACACACTTTAACAGCTGATAGCTCAATTTTGAAAATGAAATGCATTTTAACAAACACTGCCTTTATAATTATTCAAAGTGTGTGTATACATTTTGGGGGACATTCTATTTATATGTAGTCTATTGTTTCATTTACTTAAAAATCCAAAGCCAAATATTTGCCTTCATTTAATGTATCATATATATTACATATGATATTATATATATATATATTATCAAGCAAAATAGTATATTAATTAAGAGCATAGATTTTGCAGACAGGTAATATTGGACTAGTTCCTTCTTTAATCTTTACTAGGTAGAAGATCTTAAAATATCTCCAGTCCCACTTTCTGCCTGCAAAAAAGAAATTATAATGTCTATCTCACAGAGTTGTTGCAAAGATTAAATTAGATAATGCATGTAAATCATTCAACACAGTGCCAGTATGTAGAAATCACACACAATAAGTATTACTGTCATAAGATCATTTAAGTGCCAAGCTAACTGCTTCATAAATGTTTGAGTGTTTTGTGCAAGTCAAGAGGGTAGTTGACCAATTCCCCTATCAGTGTGCCTACTGGACCAGGTTCCAAAGATAACCTATGTCTGTCCGCTTTCCTTGTCCTACTGATCACTTCCTCCAAATCATTCTCCCCCATTTGCCCGGGGAATCCAGAAGACACTGCCAGATCTTTTTGCCTCTCCCTTGGTCTCCAGGTGGAGTGCGTGCAGTGTAAGGAGTAGCTTATTCCTTGGTTGGCATGTTGCTGTGGTGGCCCCAGCCCTCTCAGAAACGGTGACTTCAGCTTGAGCGCGAACCCTCATTGGCTTCTCAATTCCCCAGGACTTTTCTTCTGGAAGGGAATTACAAGGCGAGCCTGCCGTCGCTTTGGCAACAAACTTTCAACCTCTCTGGATGAGAACATATCTATTAATACATTCGATAGTCTGGGGAGTGCAAATTTTCTTCCAGGTGCAAAACAGCTTTACAGGGCTGAGCTGGCCACTGGCTTAGCTGCGCTTAGAGGGCAGCAAAGCCAAGAGCTGCGGTTGCACGGATCTCCAGGGACGTGCAAGTTTATCCGCAGCAGGTGGGAACCTGCAGAGAAGTGAAAGTTTATCCGCAACAGGTGGTGGCCGCCGCCCAGGGCGCGCTTGTGAAAACGGATGGCGGCTGCGCGCAGAAAACTCTCGCAAAGCAGGCAAGTGGGGTCTCTTCTCCTTTTCCTGTGCGTTTCCGTGGGGGGTGAGGCAACCATCCGCTACTCGGTGGCGGAGGAGATGGAGAGCGGTTCGTTTGTGGCTAACGTGGCTAAGGACCTGGGGCTGGAGATAGGGAAGCTGGCTGCGCGCGGGGCGCGGCTGGTTTCCGAGGGCAACAAACTGCACTTCCGGCTCCACCGCAAGACCGGGGATCTGTTCGTGAAGGAGAAGCTGGACCGGGAGTCCCTGTGCGGCAAAGCCGACCCGTGCGTCCTGCACTTTGAAATCGTCCTGGTGGAGCCCCTGCAGTCCTTCCGCGCCGAGGTCAGGGTGTTTGATATCAACGACAACGCCCCGATTTTCCCAAACAAGGAGCCGCTGTTAAAGATTCCGGAGAGCACGCCCCTGGGCTCACGGTTCCCTCTGCAGAGCGCCCAGGACCTGGACGTGGGCCTCAACGGGCTCCAGAACTACACCCTGAGCGCCAACGCCTATTTCCACCTGCACACCCGCTTCCGCAGCCACGGGCCCAAATACGCCGAGCTGGTGCTGGACAGACCCCTGGACAGAGAGGAGCAACCCGAAGTCAACTTGACGATCACGGCGGTGGACGGCGGGTCCCCGCCCAAGTCCGGCACCGCCCACATCCGCGTGAAGGTCCTGGACGTCAACGACCACGTGCCCCAGTTCTCCCGCCTGGTGTACCGCGCGCAGGTGCCCGAGGACAGCGCCAACGGCTCTTTGGTGGCCGCGGTGACTGCCACGGACCTGGACGAGGGCTCCAACCAGAGGATTACGTACTCCTTAGCTCAAAACCCAGAGGCCATTCTCCAGACGTTTCAGATCCACCCTGAGACTGGAGAGGTTCGCCTGAGAGGGCCCCTCGATTTCGAAGCGATGGAAACCTACGACATTGACATTCAAGCTACTGACGGGGGAGGCCTCTCTGCCCACAGCAAAGTCCTGGTGGAAGTGGTGGATGTGAATGACAATCCTCCGGAAGTGACCGTCTCCTCTGTGTCCAGCCCTCTCCCTGAGGACGCCCCCCTGCAAACGGTAGTGGCCCTTTTCTCCATCCGAGACCGGGACGTGCGAGTGGGAGGGAAAATCACCTGCTTCCTCAGAGAAGACCTTCCCTTTGAGGTCAAACCTACGTTCCGGAATGCTTACCAGCTGGTCACCAACAGAGGCTTGGATCGGGAGGAGGTCTCGGGCTATAATATCACCCTCGTTGCCATGGACACCGGACCACCCAATCTGTCCACAGAGACTGTCATAGAGGTGCTAATATCTGACATTAATGACAACCCCCCGGTATTTCGGGAGGACTCCTACATCTTGACGGTCCGGGAGAACAACAGCCCTGCAGTTTTCATCGGCAAAGTCCATGCTGAGGATTTGGATTTGGGCGAGAATGCCCAAGTCACGTATTCTCTGCTGCCTCCAAAGAGCGGAGATCTATCCGTCTTTGCTTACATCTCCATAAATTCAGACAACGGGAAGCTCTATGCACTGAGAACCATGGATTATGAGGCCATTCAAGATTTCCAGTTTGTGATAAAGGCAACGGATGGGGGCTTCCCATCGCTGAGCAGCCAGGTTACTGTCCGAGTGGTGGTCCTGGATGACAATGACAACCGTCCCATGATCTTGTACCCCTTGCAGAATGGCACCTTGCCCTGCAATGACCTGGTGCCCAGGTCTGCGGAGGCAGGCTACTTGGTAACTAAGGTGGTGGCTGTGGATGGTGACTCGGGTCAGAATTCTTGGCTTTCATATCATCTGTTTAAGGCCACTGACCCCGGGTTATTCTCTGTTCAACAACAAAATGGGGAAATCCGCACACTGCGGCAGATATCTGAGAGAGACCTCATGATGCAGAAACTTATCATTCTTGTTCAGGATCATGGCCAACTAGTGCTTTCCACCACTGCTTCACTCAACATCCTGCTGGTAGAAGGCTTTTCTGAGCCCTATCTGCAGTTCCGGGATCCATCCAAGCATCCTGCAATGGTAAATCCATCCACTAAATATTTGGTCATTTCTCTGGCTGTGCTTTCCTTTCTCTTTCTCCTCTCGGTCACGGTGATCTTCCTTATACACATCTGCCAGAAAATTAAATATAGAGAAAAGATCACAATTCAAGAGCATTTCTATGATGACTGTAATTTCCCTAATCACCTGGTACCAGGAGGAGCCCATGGATCTCTATCCCAGCCTTGTCCCTACGAAATGTGCTCAGCTACTGGCACTGGCACTGGCACTAGTGAGTTTCGGTTTCTTAAGCGCTTTATGCCCAACTTTCCCTTTCCCCATGGCACTGGAGAGGTAAAGACAGAGGCTGGCTCCAGTGTACCACTAGGATCACTGGATTAAATGGCAGTTCCACTTTTTTATTTTTTGAGGAAACTCCATATTGTTTTCCATAATGGCTGCACCAGTCTGCATTCCCACCAGCAGTGTACTTTGATTCCCTTTTCTCCAAATCCTCGCCAGCACTTGTCATTAGTTGATTTGTTGTTGGTAGCCATTCTGACAGGTGTAAGGTGATACCTCATTGTCATTTTAATTTGCAATTCTCTGATGATTAGTGACTTTGAGCATTTTTTCATATGTTTCTTGACCATGGGCATATCCACTTTGGAGAAGCGCCTATTTAGGTCCTTTGCCCATCATTAATTGAATTGTTTGTCTTCCTTTTGTTAAGTTGTATGAGTTCCTTGTATATTTTGGAAATTAACCCCTTATGAGATGTATCATTGGCAAATATAGTCTTCCTTACAGTGGGCTCCTTTTCATTTTGTTGAAGGTTTCTTTTGCTGTGCAGAAGCTTTTTTATTTTGATGTAGTTCCACTTGTTTATTTTCCCCTTGCCCTAAGAGATGTATTGGCAAATATATTGCTATGAGAAATGTCAGATTTTGCTGCCTATGGTTTCTTCTAGGATTTTTATGGTTTCACAACTTGCATTTAAGCCTTTTACCCATTTTTATTTTATTCTTGTGTATGGTGAAAGTTGGTGGTCTAATTTCATTTTTTTTTTTGCATGTACCTGTCCAATTTTCCCAACACCATTTATTGAAGAGACTGTCTTAATGCTGTTGTATGCTCTTGCCTCTTTTGTTAAATATTAATTGAGCGTAATGGCTTGGGTTGATTTCTGAGTCTCTGTTCTGTTCCATTGGTCCATATGCTTGTTTTTTGTGTTCCATTACCAGGCTGTTTTGATTACAGTAGCTTTGTAGTATAACTTGATATCTAATACTGTGATTCCCTCCAACTTTGTTTCTTCTTTCAAAAGATGCTGCAGCTATTCAGGGTCTTTATTGGTTCCATATTAGTTTTTGGAGTATTTGTTTTAGATCTGTGAAATATGCCATTGGTATTTTAATATGGATTGCATTAAATCTATAGATTGCTTTGGGCAGTAATGACATGTTAATGATGTTAATTCTACTATCCATGAGCATGGTATATTCTTCCACTTGTTTATATCCTCACTATTTCTTTTTTCAACATCCTATAGTTTTCTGAGTACAGGTCTTTTACCTCCTTGGTTAAGTTTATTCCTAAGTATCTTAATTTTTTTGTTGCAATGGGTAAATGGAATTGTGTTTTTGTTTTTGTTTTTAGTTTCTCTTTTTGGGATTCATTATTGGTGTATAAAAATGCCATCAATTTCTGAGTATTAATTTTGTATCCTTCTACATTGCTGATTTCATTTATTAAATCTAGTAGTTTTTTGGGTGGAGTCTTTAGGGTTTTTATGTACAATGTCATTTCATCCACAAATAATGACAATTTTACTTCCTTCTTTCTAATTTGGATCCCTTTTATGCTTTCTTCTTGACTGGTCACTATGACTAAGACTTCCAGCACTATGTTGAATAAGAGTGGTGAAAGCAGATAACCCTGACTTGTTCCTGTTCTTAGGCAAAATGGTTTTAGTTTTTGTCCATTGAGTATGATGTTGGCTGTAGGTTATCATATATGGCCCTTTATTCCCACTTTGATGAGAGTTTTTATCAAAAATGGGTGTTGGAGTTTGTCAAATGCTTTTTTCTGTGTCTATTGACACAATCATGTGATTTTTGTCTTTCAATATGTTTATGTGATGCATCACATTTATTGATTTGCAAATATTGTACCAGCCAGCCTTGCATCCCTGGAATAAATCCCACTTGGTCATGGTGTATGATCTTTTTAATATAGTGCTTGATATGATTTGCTATTATTTTGTTGAGGATTTTAGCACCTATGTTCATCTGGAATCAATATCCTAAAATTCTCTTTCTGTGTAGTATCTTTATCTGGTTTTGGAATTAGGATAATGCTGGCCTCATAAAAAGAACTTGGAAGTGTTATTTCCTCCTGGATTTTTTTTTGAATAGTTTGAGGATGGTAAGTGTTCTTCTTTGAATGTTTAGTAAAACTTCCAGGTGAAGCCATTTGGACCAGGGCTTTGTGTCCTGGGAGGTTTTTTTTTTAAAAAATTTTTTTTTATTACTACTTCAACTTTATCACTTGTTATTGGCCTATTCTGATTCTTCCTGTTTCAGTTTTGGAAGATTGTATTTACTAGCAAATCATTCATAGAATAAAAAGGAGTAGGAACAGAAGTTAGACTTTTTTAAAAAAATTATTGCTGTTTGCCTTCATAAGCTATTTTAAGTTCTCTTGTTCTAAAATTAAAGAAACTAATATTAAAATATTAGCATATTTTAAGGATGCTATTAATACTACTAACTGTGACTTAAAAACAAAAATAAAGTCTGCATTCATGAAGCTTTAATTCTGTGCCTTATTTTAGACAAATGTGTGTAAATTTGTCCTGCACAGGAGGGCACTATGTTTGTACCTAGAATTCCAAGGGTAGAAGAATACCTCTAAAATATTTCTGAAATATACCAGATTATATTTGTTGTTATAAGCATTAATGTTGGAATTATGATTGATACCTAATGGTACCACTTGGCTGTTGACCTAGTAGCCAAGATATACTAAAAATTAGTGCTAAGATATTTTTTAAATATTAGAGATGTTTAAGGCGGAATTGGTGTAACCTGTTCAACATTTTTTCTTAGTATTTTGAGAATAGATGAGACAAATGCAGAACATCAGTAAATTGTCTTATCAATATTAAATAGTTTCCATAAATTAAGTATAATGCTGCTCATTGGAGTCAATGTCTTTCTTGCACAAAACATAGAACAATTTGTATTCCAGTGTGTTTGGGTTAGGATTGGTTAAGACATGTTGAAACCAGAGGTTTTTAAGAAAGAAAAGACATATAATTAACTTTATGGGTAAGTATCGATAGTAACTAGTTAAAACATTATTAACTAAAAGTCACTGGATTAACTGCATTTGATAACATAATTGTATTTGTGGGGTTTTTTACTTTAGCTTTTTAAAAATTAAATGTTATTTTATTTTAATTTCTTTATTGATTAAGGCATTACATATGTGTCCTTATTTCCCCATTTCCCCTCAACCCCCCTCCCATTTATACCCTTTCCCCCCTGTTGTCTGTCTCCACTAGTTAGGCTTATATGCATGCATATAAGTCCTTTGGTTGATCTCTTCCCTTTATCCCCACCCTCCCCTACTTTCCCTAAGGTCTGACATTCTGGTCGATGTTTCTCTGTCTCTGGATCTGGTTTTGTTCATCAGTTATGTTGTTCATTATATTCCATAAATAAGTGTGATCATGAGATATTTATCTTTCTCTGCCTTGTTTATTTCACTTAGCATAATGCTCTCTAGTTCCATTACATTGGATGATGTGAGCATAGTTAGTGGAGCCTGGTTTGATGTCAATAATAAGGAAAGAAAATGAGTTAAATCAATGATTTTAGACTAAATTTCAAATAGCAGTAACAAACAAAAGTAGATGTAGATTTGCCAACTTTTTATATTTCCATGAATGAACAGTAAGTTAAAACGTAAAAAAGCCATCATTTATTACCATTATTTCATAAACAAAATGATATTTTAAAATGGTAAGATAACAATCTCATAAAGGAATTATCCTTTAAATTAAAAAAACATAGTTTTATGAAAATTGTGTTTTGCCATTATATTTTCATTTTGCCGGAGACAAGTGAATAATTTTCCATGACTTTCAGTTGGGAACTACTGAAATAAATGACACTCTAATCTCATTCTTATTCAGTCTTGAAGCTCCCAAGAAAAGTTCAATTGTACCTGATGATTAAAAACTTAGACCAATTCTGCATCAATATGCTGAGTATGATGTGAACTATTTGTATTTGGAGAGAACTATATTCCAGCTGAAACTAAGTCCAGGTTTCCATCAGCAAATTAACACAAAGAATGGAAATAATTAGGACACTTATTGTTCCCCCAAATGTCAAGTGACTTTATAACTATTTGTATTTATTCAAAGCTATAACCAAATGCCTAGAAGTGCTCCTGTATAAAAAGGCCCTGATAAGTATTTAATAAAAAATATCTAAATAGTTTGGACAAGTTGCTCCAGTTATCTATTTCACTTTGAAATGCACATAGATCTACATTTCCAACGAAAGGTTTAAGTTATAAAGAATGTAAGCTCTTTTAAAACTTTTTATTATAAGATAATTTTAGATATAAAACTGTGAGAATAGTATAGAGTCCTCATATACTCTTCACCTACCTTCCCTTAATGTTAACATCATACATAGCATTGCATAGCTATCAAATTAATAAATTAATGTTTGTATAATTCTATTAACTAAACTGCAGGCTTATTCCAATTTTACAAGTTGTTGTTTTTTTCATTTCTTATTCTTTTTTTCTTCTTTTTAAAAATATATTTTATTGATTTTTTTACAGAGAGGAGGAGAGAGGGATAGAGAGCTAGAAACGTCGATGAGAGAGAAACATGGACCAGCTGCCTCCTGCACACCCCCCACCAGGGATGTGCCCGCAACCAATGTACATGCCCTTGACCGGAATCGAACCTGGGACCTTTCAGTCCACAGACTGACGCTCTACCACTGAGCCAAACCGGTTTCGGCTCATTTCTTATTCTTTTTAAAAATATCTAATCCAGGATCCCACAATGCATTTAGTTATGTCTCCTTAGTTTCTATTACCCATGATAGTTCCTTAACATTTCCTTGTCTTTCATGACCTCAAGACTTTTGAGGAATACTAGTTAGTTATCTGCAAAATGTCCCTCATTTTTTTCAGTTTTATTGAAAAATTATTGACATGCAGAACTGTATAACTTTAAGGTATACAGAAAAAATGACTTGATTTATGTATATTGTGAAATGATTGCCACAGTAAGTTTATTTAACAAACATATGCCTCAACTTGAGATTGTCTTTGTTTTCTCATGATTAGATTAATGTTATGCATTATTGGAA